GAAATCAAACTCAATCAGGAAGGAGATATTCAAAAGCACAAAGCAAGATTGGTTGCTAGAAGCTTCACGCCAAAACCAGGTATTGATTTTTATGAAACATTCTCTCCAGTTGCTCGTCTTGAGACAATTAGAACTATAATTGTTGTTGCTACACAAAAGAAATGAAAGATATTTCAACTTGATGTTAAATCAGTATTTCTGAATGGAAAACTTGATGAAGAGATTTATGTTGAGCAACCTCAAGGATTTTTTGTTCAAGGGGGAGAAGAAAAGGTGTATAAACTAAAAAAAGCTCTTTACAGGCTGAAGCAAGCTCCAAGAGCCTGGTACAATGAAATAGATACATACTTTCTGAAAAATAATTTCCAGAGAAGTAAAAGTGAATCCACTTTGTATGTGAGGAAAGAACATGGCAGCATTATCATTGTTTGTCTCTATGTGGATGATTTGCTCTTTACAGGAAATGATGTAAAGATGATGAAAAATTTCAAACAAGATATGATGCAAGCTGATGAAATGAGTGATCTTGGATTGCTAAATTATTTCTTGGGCATCGAAGTTTCTCAAGTGAAAGAAGAAATTTTCATTTCTCAAAAGAAGTAAATAAAAGTATTCTTCAAAAATTCAAAATGATGGATTGCAGGTATGTGGCCATACCATCAGCAGCAAATGAGAAGTTTAGAAAAGATGATGGAGAAAAGAAAGTTAATAGCTCATTTTTTAGGAGTTTGATTGGAAGTTTGCTATATCTTACTTCAACAAGGCTAGATATTATGTTTGCTGCTAGTTTATTATCCAGATTCATGCAAGAACCAAGCCAAGTACATTTTGGAGCTGCAAAGCGTGTTCTACGCTACTTGTAAGGAACAATGGATTATGTGATAATGTACAAATTTGGTGGAAATTTGAACTTAATTGGTTATTCTGATAATGATTGGACTGGAAGTATAGATGGCATGAAGAGTACTTCTGGATATGTTTTCTTATTTGGATCAAGCATTTGTTCTTAGTTATCAAAAAAGCAAAGTGTTGTTGCTCAATCCACTGTCGAAGCAGAATATGTTTCAGCATCCAAGGCTACTTCTCAAGCTATTTGGCTTAGGAGAATATTTGAAGACATTGGTGAAAAACAAAAAAAAGGGATTGTTTTGTATTGTGATAACAAATCAGCAATTGCAATTGTTAAGATCCAGTCAGCCATGAAAGATCAAAGCATATTTTCATCAAGTATTATTTTATCCGAGAAGTACAAGAGAAACGCGAAATTCAGTTGCATTATTGTCAGACAGGAGAACAACTTGCTGACATCTTCACCAAAGCACTTTCAAGAGAAAATTTTTGCCATCATCGAAAACGCATTGAAGTTATCAAGCAAATGCATTAAGGGGGAGTGTTGGAATTAATGCATCAATGTTTAGTCTTCAAAAATTGTCTCTTAGTTTTTCGAGAAGTCTTTTTAGAATTTCGTAGTACATGTATCTAGTAAATTGTGATACATGTATTTAGTTATTTGTGCAAGACTTTTTGTTTTTTATTTTGAGTTGTAAAAATAGTGATGTAGTTGATGATTGTAATCATCTCAAGTGGCCTTAAGTAGCCTATAATAAACTTGAGCATTTTTTTAAAGATATTATTTTTCCTTTCATATTTTCTATAGGCTCGTTTATAATTAAGTTGAGGAATTGCTTTTGAACATTCTATCTCTGCAATTGGTGTAGTATTTGTCATCATGATTCAGTTCTGGAATTTGAATCAAAAGAAGAATGATGCAGAGAAAAGAAGGAATCAATTAGAATAAATTTACCCCATATAAAAATTAGGTTATTGGATCTAATTCATGCCCTTAAAAATAAGCTTAAAGGAAGAAGGATTATTCAAGTCTTAATAACGAAATCACACAATCTCAATGGATATTTTCATTCTTCAACACCCCCAACTCAAGCTCATAACTGAACATTTGATGCATGGACAAATTTTTAATTTGGAGCCCAACATCAGGTCATGCTTTGAAATTAGCTTAATCAAGCTTGAGAAGAAATATTTTATGTATTGAATTCTTCAAATTGAAAAATGAGTACAAAAATATCTTCTTTAACTGACCTTGTCTACAATTTACTATCTATGTGTCATTCTCCAGTTTGTTGACTAAATAACTAACCACTAACTAGAGTATGTACAAATGTTCACCAACAACTTTGCTAGCTTTCCATCAAGATCTACAACCTTAGTTTGCAAGTGTATACAAACTAAACAACCATCAAGTGTGAGGAATTCAATTTTGTGACATACTTTCAGGAAAGGAAATCTCTACTTAAAGAAGTAATGAAATAAACCATATCAGTTTCAATATTTTTGTATCAATATGTAATGATGATTATAATTAATTAAGAAATCTGACCTCCATTTGTTGTTCCACTTCAAATGTGTTAATGTTGATCAACGTTTCTTTTGTATATTCACGATATCTTTCAATTGTCTTTTGCATGCTGAATTATTCCAAGAAGATAAAGCAATTATTAAGACTTCTGTAAGGTAAAGTACATCCCAAACATGATAGATGTATTGAACTACGTAGCAGGTTTAATTGATGGAAATTAACATATCATATATAATAGATAATTAAAATTATTTATTTTTCTATACATTCCATGTTTATAGGGAAAAAATATCTATGCCATATGTACTTCCTATATTGAGAATTTTGCTCAGATTTGTGTTTGAACACTTTTTATATACTATCTTACACTTTATACAAGATTACTATATTATGTATTAATACTTTCTCAAGTATGATATTATATAAAGGTCTACAATATTATAGGGATAAGGTGTAAATATCCTCTAGACTATGACTGAAACTTAGAGACACACCTTAACTATATTAAGGTTCTATTATCCGAACCAATTTGTTTTGTTATTTCGTAGACCTTTTTGGCTTTTACATGGCATCAAAATATCTCTCACGCGCCTCAACTGTGTGAGGAGATAATATGAATTTAGTTTAATTAAGATATCTCAAATTTCGATCATAATCTAAGAGGTACTTATATCTTACCCCTAATATTATATATTGGGTCATGTGACTTAGTTTTATGTTGTCGGTATATTTTTGAAGAACTCCCAAATTCATTTTCATTTAAAAGTTTAAAAATATAAGATTCAAATAAAATTTTATAATAATTTATTATTATTTCAACGAAAAATTAAAATTAAATAGTGATATTTCATGATGTGTTTTATCGGTGATGGTTATGGGTACCCGTTGAGCATGGTATTGATTGTGGATAGTGGCTAATGGTGGTGGTAGTCTACAGTATTGATTCATGGCGGTTATTGGTGATGGCGCCCGATTATTCTAATAGATCTTACTGATATCGAATAGTAGTATAATAAATATTTATCGATGTATTTATGAATAAAGCTTGAGAGTTTTGAGCCTTGCTTTCATTTAAAATAGATATTGCTTGTGGTGAAAGGCGGTGATGCTTGATTGTATAGTGATTTTTTTTTAGTTATAAGTGGTTGTAATGATCATTAATAGTAATGATCATTAATAGTAATGATTATAAATGATAATAACGATAGAATGTGATTAGAGTTGATATGCTCTGATTAAAAATGGTGGTTGCTAGTTTATAATGGTGGATGATAACAACGATTAGGCGCGAAAGCTGAAGGAGTAGTGGTAGAAATTAAAAAATAGATAGCTTAATGATATTAATTATGATTATTAGTCATTCTAATCTATTCAAACTCATTAGTAGATATAACAAGAAACTATATATACTTATGGATTGTTTGGTAAAGAGATTAACAATACACTGATTAGTAATGTAGGGTTTATTTTTTATCAACTATATAATTTATTGTTTTCCACCTCATCCTGTACTTGGAATAAAATTTTATAAAAAGTTTTTTTTCAGTCATGCCCTTGAATTATTATGTAATTGAGTCAAGACATATAATTGGAAGGCAATATTATATTTTTATGATCTTCTAACTAGCTAGGAGAAGAATAATTTTACTTCCATGTTAGCTGTTTTCTCACTTGAATTATTCGAGGATAAATAATTGTGATATATTTGTCTTTTAAATTAGTAAATGTTAGACAACTCACATTTCAAATATTGTATTGATTTGTAATGGATTTATTTAGCAACAAACAATTTTCTCTAAAAAAATGAAATTTGTAAGCTAATTTATTTAAATAAATTTACTAGTACAAGCATAAAACATAAAATCAAGAAAATAAAAAAAATGATAAAAATGATTTGAGAGATATCTAGATTAATCACATGGTATTAAATCATACATATTACTAATACCATCAAATAAAAGGTATTAGTAATACATCCTTTGTATCTATAATACAAAAGGTATATAGCTAATTCATCCCAAATAGAATGTATTAGTAATACATCCTATAATACCTACATAAGATATACAACTCATCAATGGATTAGTTATACATAGGCCCAAATTTTCTAACCAAATATAATACATTTGACTATTTCTCCTATTACGCTTTAACAAACGACCCCTCAATGATAAAATTTGCATTATTAGATGCAGGCATAAGCAACAAATAGATTTAATATTAAAACCTAAGTGATTAAATTTAAGATCGCTTTTTTTTTTTAAACTCAAAAAAAATCTTAAATTTAATCACTTAGGTTTTAAGAGCTTCATTAAGTACAAACAATTAACCTAAGCTAAGTTGTTGTTTATATATATAAGATCTTAGTCTCAATCTTAACATTCAAATTTAGACTTGTAACCTTAGCCAAGCGGTTGTTAATATATTATTAAGATTTGTATCTACATTAGCACAGAACTATATATCCTTTTCAATATCAAACACTTTATGCATTAATATTCTAACATTACCCTTCAAGTTGGTACATATAAGTCATCTATATCTAGTTTGTTATAATTTATAAATAAAACTTGAAAAACTAGAATTAATAAGGGACTTGATGAAAATATATCTGCAAACTAATTATTAAATTTTATAAATTTTGTTATAATATCTCCTAAGAGTTATTTCCTCTAATAAAGTAGCACTTGATCTAAATGTGTTTTCCTCTCATGAAAATAATGAATCTGAGGCAATAGAAAGGGCCTCTTGATTGTTAAACACAAGTTTCATCCAATTGATATGTCCAATTTTAAATTTACTATCAACTATTTGTTGAAAAAATAATTCTAGTTGTTTGCAACAAATTTTAAACATATGGAAAATAAACAAATC